AGAAAGTTAGTTGAGCTATGCCTGGTTCTCCTCCTTCTGCCTCAACCTGGAAATTCTTTTAAGGTAGTAAGAAGGGGCAGTTTTAAGGTTCACATTGCTTATTTTCTGTCTCTTAGTTGCCTGATGTCCAGGCTTAAAAACTATCATTTCATATATTTTGTCTGGTTTTTCCTGGTTTCTTTTAAGTTTCAAGGAAGAGTGTAAATCCAATCCCTGTTATTCATTACATCTTTGCCAGAAGCAGGAGTCTGAGGTCCTTTACATCTTCTGTTTCCTCTGTGTGGATTGCCCTACCCCAGATATCTGTGTCATTGACGCTCTCACCTCTTTCTGTTTAGCAGTTTTTTATTGGATGCTGGACATTGTGAATGTTCTGTTGTTATATCTCTGGATTTTTTTTGTCTTCCTTTAAAGGAGTGATGCCTTTTATTTTAACAGCCATATACATTATCTGTGGGTCAGCTTATCCTTTTGAGGCTATTTTAAGCTTTGACAGGATAGGTTTATAGTAGTTTTTACTCTAGGGCTATGTTAGCCCTACTACATAAGACGTGATTCTTTTGAATACAACAGGTGTTCAAAAACGTCTCTTCACTCTGGCTGCTTGAAAATTGTAATGTCTCCCAGGCCTGAGTGAGCTCTGGGAATTGGTCAATTGATAGTTCCTAGTAGTTATTCTTTGCCCAGGCTCCTGGAGTCAAATACTGCCCATGTCAGCCTGGTATTCAGGCAGATTCAAGAAGACCCTAGGTAATTTTCTAGAGCTCTTTCTTTGCATAGCTTTCTTCTGTGCCATACTCTGCCCTAAAAATTGCAGTTTCTTCACCCTCCCCAAACTCTAATCTCTGTCTTCTCAACTCAGACTACTGTTCCTGCTCCCTGTGTCACAGCCCAGAAAGTTTCCCCAGTCTAAAAGCTAGAGTCCATAGGAATCACCCTTCTCTCAGGCATCGCAGTCCTTTACTACTTATTTCTGAAAACAGTTGTCTCATATATTTCTTCTAGTTTTTCAGCAGAGGGCAAATCTAATGCCAGTTACTCCATTATGGCCAGAAGCAGACATATTCAGAGTGATATATCATGCAAAGTGATTTAATATACAAGTTAGGTTATGTGACTTCTCTGCTTAAAACTGTTGATTGGCTCCTCATTTCAGTCAGAGAAGAAGCCAAAATACTTACAATGGCTTACAAAATCATGATTTGACTTCCCTGTTACCTTTCTTTCCTTATACCCTACTACTTCTCTCCCGGTTTATTCCAATCCACACATACTGAACTTCTTATTTCTGGAACCACCAGGCATGCTTCCATCCTAAGTCCTCTCTGTTTCCTTTGCTTGGTCAGTACTTTCCATAGATGGCCATGAATAGCCATGTGGCTAACTCCCTCACTTCTCTCAAGCTTTTCAACTTCTTAATAAAATTGCTACCATCTCCCCACCATCTCTTCTTTTCCCCCATTTTCCTTACACTGCTCTGATTTTTCTTTTTTCTCGTAGCATTTATCCCTCCCTGACATATTGTTTTTTCTTACTTATTTGTCATGTTCATTGTTTAAGGGCTGCCTTCCCCCTTTAGAACTCAAGCTCCACAAGGGCAGAGATCATTGTCTATTTTGTTTCCTATACATGGTCTACACTTATTACATAATTTTCTATACTTTGTTAGATGTTTAATAAATTGAGCATTAAAAGTATTGATATTGGGCGCCTGGGTGGCTCAGTTGGTTAAGCGACTGCCTTCAGCTCAGGTCATGATCCCAGGGTCCTGGGATCGAGTCCCGTATCGGGCTCCCTGCTCTGCGGGGAGCCTGCTTCTCCCTCTCCCACTCCCCCTGCTTGTGTTCCCTCTCTCGCTGTGTCTCTCTCTGTC